TGGAGACGCAGCCAGGAGGGTCTGCTCCCATGACTCTGAGCCAGCAAAGCCCTGTGACATTGAGAACCAGAGCGTGGTACAGGAGCAAGAAACCCTAGTCACAGATGCCTTGCGTGAAGGTGAAGGAAATAGCGAGAAGACGTTCTACCAAACGGTTGTGTTGGATACAAAGGACCTCAGCCTCCCAGGAGAGCTGGACACCGTTTCAGACTTGAGCATATCCTATCTCCCCAATGAGCCAGACGTACGGCCAGATGTGAAGGTCCTCCCTCCGGCTTGCGAGCCCCACACTGCGGCCTATYTGATCCATGTCATCCGGAACCTGGATGATCCCCAAGCTGTCACCTACAAGGTTGTCTGTCCCCAGYCCCACAGCTCCGCGCAGCCCGTTTATGTGACGAAATGCTACGCGTCACCGCAGCCTCCCGCAACGCCATGCGAAGGCAGCAAACAGCAAGAGCCAGAACGTGGAGAAGACAACAGCAAAGCAGGGGAACCAGGGGAGCTTGAAGCCACGCAACGCACAGGCTCATGCGTGCCAGAAGCGCAACCGGGTAGAGACGGCAACCAGCAGCCCGCGGAGTCCGGCCCTGAGGACCGAGAGGACCTCAAGGAGCGACCCGAGGTGCAGGATGGAGAAGGTCCATGTGAGCAGGAGAGGGCTGAAACAGAAGCCAAAGAAGAAGGGCAAGAGGAGGCCCCATTGGAGAGCGTTAAGGATGAATCTGCTCCACCACGCAAGGGTGAAGCTGGAGATACCAGGAGGAATGAGCAGTGCCCACGGGAGCCTGAGCCCAACACGGAGCCGCAGGAAAATGGATCCAAAGAAGGCGTCCCAAGGGCAGCCGAATCCGAGTGCCGCCCTGCTCCCGGGGACGAGGGCAACCAGGCTCAACCGCAGGAGGGAGAATCGCCCCAGCGGGAGGACGGCCAGCAGCAAAACCAGCGCGCGGAGGGGAAGGCCAAGGCGCCCGAATGCAGCCCGGAGGCCGGAGACCCGGGAAAGGCTCCGGAGGCCCCGGAAAGTGGAGGGCGGAAGGCGCCCGCGCGCAAGACGGGCCGACGAGCCACGGAGGAGACCAAGRCACAGGAGGCACCGAGGTGCCCCGCCGAGGCTCCTTAGGGAGACATCCGGGTGCCGCGGGGTAGTCGTGGAGCCTTCCCCTGCCCTCCTCGAGGGTTGCAGCTGCTCTCCGGTCTCAGCGCCGGCAGCTTCAAGCTCCACAGCTTCTGCTTTTCTGCACCGTTTCTGTCCTCCTCGCTGCATGTAGTCCTCGCTTTCTCGGAATCGGGGCTCCTCGGGTGACTCTGTCCTTTAGGCCCTGTCATCTCCACCGCCACCGCTGCTCCTCGGCTCCCCCGTTGCTCTCATGCCACCCAGGCCCTGCAGCAAACTCCACTGCTTGTTGACTTCTACTATGCAACGCACACGAGAAACACCTCCTAGCATCTCAATCCTGCTCAATTAGGGCCTGAAAATCCTCCGGTCTGGGAAAAATCACCATCAAAGGCAGACCCGGTGCTTCTGGCTACRCGTTCTTGCCCTCCTAGCAGCCGAGCAGAATCCCAGCGCGTCTCAAGGAGATGGTGGAGCCGTCGAGCTCTGCTCTGGCTACTACAGGGCAGCAGGGGCAGGGCTTCTTTCTCCTCAGTGTTGATGTCCTTTCTCCTTCATTTTGATGTATTGCATGAAAAAATACGCAATAAAGAGCTGCTGAACGCACCGAGTGCTGCCCTCCTTCCTCCATCCAGCCTCGGGGTGGCGGGTCCCAACTGGGACCCCTGTCCCTGCTTGCGGTAAGAAACCCTTGTGGTAAGAGCAGATCTTGGCCTTGGGTGAGAGGGTGGTGGGTGTGGATGGGGATGTGATTTTGCAATAGGATGGAGGGAGGGTGAGGAGGAGCTTCCCACGAGGCCCTTTTCCCGCGACGTTCCAGCCCCGGGGATACAAAGGGGTCGGGAGCAGAAGGAGGAGGTTGCAAAAGCACAGGACGTGCCAAGTCCAGAGGACTGGGTGGATTGGGTGGAGGGGGGACACGTTTTGAGCACGTTTTGACCATTTTGACCACATTTTGACCGTTTTGATAGGGAAAATGGTTTGTTGGAGGAAGGAAATTGCGGCCCGGGGGCCTCCTCCGGGATGAGGAGTGAAGGCAAAGGGAGAAACGAGGAGGAGAGGGCAGAAAAGGGGCTGGAGAACAAGGGAAGGTGGAAGGTGTGGAGGGGGAAATGGGATGGGGGAATAAGTGTAAAGGGGGAAAGGAAGAGGAGGGGGGAGGAAGGTCGGGGTGGGAGGGAGAGGAGGGTGGGATGAAGGCCGGGGAGGAGGGAGGACAGCCGAGGAGGGTGGGAGGAAGGCCGAGGGGGAGAAAGGAAGGCCGGGGAGGAGGGAGGACGGCCGAGGGGGAGGACGGCCGGGCGCGGGGCTGAGTCAGGGCTGGCAGGAAGGGTGGTGGCGCCCGGCCCCGCTCACAAGCGCCCCGGCTGCCGCCCGCGTCGCACCGAGCGGCCCCCGCGCGCGGCCCGGCCATGGTGAGCGGGGACGGGGAGCGACGGGGACGCCGGGGCCCATCGAGGGCCATGGGGGGCTGCAGTTGTCGGGTGGAGATGGGGGGCAGCCGGGGTCCCCCCYGCCTCCAGCCTTCCCTTCTCGCCTTTCTCCTTCCCTGCTCTTGCTGCTGCCAACGCGGGGTTCGGGGCTGCACCCCCCGCTCCATCAGAAAGGATGGGGGGGACTGTTGGGGGGGGACAAGGGCAGAAAGYGCTCGGTTCCTCTCCCCCTAACCCCAAAATGACCCAATTCGGCCTCAACGAGGCCAGGACGTGGCCAGGGGAAGAGGCCAGGACAGATTCCTCCTTGTGCAGCCTCTGGAGCGGGGCTGGGGGCGCTGGGACCCCCCCCATCATCCCTGGGTGCCACGTTGCGCCCTCCCCTTCCCAGCACCCTTCCCACAGGAGCGGCCTCGGGAACGGGCAGCATTTTTAGCTCCTGACTCAGAGATTTCTTCGGTCCCGATAGGAAAAAAAAAGGGAGGGAAGGGGGTTAGGGAAGGGCTTCCCTTTCCGCAAGGGCAGCCACAGCCAAAAWCCTCAAAAATCCCTCGAAAAAGGGAGTTTTCAGAGCAAGCGCGAGGCTATTCCCCTGCGGGAAAAAATAATCCCGGAGAAAAATGCGGCTGGACAGGTTTGAGCAGGGGAAAGCTGTTGCACAAGGGCTCCTCGTCCCCACCTTCCGCTATCAGGAATGGCGTTGGGTTTTTTTTAAGTTTTCCTGCAAATAAAGAAGTTGTTTCGAGGCTTGCCTAAACTCGCTCCGCTTCCCGCAGTCGAAGGCGGCGCCCACGGAGACGGAGCGCTGCATCGAGTCCCTGCTGGCCGTGTTCCAGCGGTACGCGGGCCGCGAAGGGGACAGCTGCACGCTCTCCAAGAGGGAGTTCCTCGCCTTCATGAACACCGAGCTGGCCTCCTTCACCAAGGTGCGCGGCAGCGAGCCTGCGGCGGCACGAGGAGCAGGGCGGGGGGAAGAACCACGGGGTGGTGAAGGTCGGGAGGGGCCTCTAGAGATCATCTAGAGCAGATCTAGAGCATCTAGAGCAGCTCTAGAGCATCTAGAGCAGCTCTAGATCATCTAGAGCAGCTCTAGATCATCTAGAGCAGCTCTAGATCATCTAGAGCAGCTCTAGATCATATGGCACATGGTGGTATCCAGGTGGGCTTGGAAGACCTCCGGAAAAGGAGCCTCCACAACCTCCCTGGGCAGCCTGTGCCAGGGCTCGGGCAGCCTCACAATCAAGAAGTTCCTCCTCACATGGAGATGGAGCTACCTGAGGTTCAACTTGCACCCATCGCCCCTTGTCCTGTCGCTGGCCACCACTGAGAAGAGCTTTGGGCCTTCCTCCCTCCATTCCCCCTTCATGTACTTACACATGTTGATCAGATCCCCTCGCAGCCTTCTCTTCTTCAGGCTGGACAGGCCCAGCTYGCTCAGTCTCTCCTCATGCAAGAGATGTCCCACTCTCTTGCTCATCTTGGTTGCCCTCCGCTGGATCCTCTCTAGAAGCTCCACATCCCTCTTGTCCTGGGGAGCCCAGAGCTGCCCGCAATGCTCCAGGTTTGGCCTCCCAGAGCTGAGCAGAGGGGCAGGATCCTCCCTGCCCTGAGGGCAACTCCTCCTGATGCAGCCAGGWGCCCATCGGCCCCGTTGGCCACTTGGGCACTGCTGCCTCATGGTCACCTTGGTGTCCACCAGGACTGCCAGGTCCCTCTCCATGGAGCTGCTCTCCAGCAGGTCAAGCCCTAATCTGTCCTGGTGCCAGGGGTTATTCCTCCCCAGGTGCCRGACCCTGCACTTGTCCTTGTGGAACCTCATGAGGTTCCTCTCCGCCCAACTCTCCAGCCTGTCCAGGTCCCTCCAAATGGCAGCACAGCCCTCCGGAGTGTTGACTACTCCACCAGCTTGGGATCACCCACAACTCACCTTTGCTAGCAGCCAAATGATGTCCCACTTGCCCAAAAAAGAGTCTCCCAACTGAATTTTATCTCCTTATCTCCTTACCTGCTGAGTCCAGGGACTCGGCAACCAAGGGCAAGAGGCAGCGCTGCCTCTAAGCAGGTGTTGAGAGGAGGTTCYCTGCTGTTTTGCAGAACCAGAAGGACCCAGCCGTCCTGGACAGAATGATGAAGAAGCTGGATTTGAACAGCGACGGCAARCTGGACTTCCCCGAGTTCCTGAACCTCATCGGGGGCATCGCGGTGGCCTGTCACGAGGCCCTCGTGGTGCAGGCGCCTCCCCGCTAGGGCCAGGCGGGGCCCGCGCGCGGTGAACACGTCATGAGCAAGAACCACAGAACCCTGGCATGGATCCCCGCGAAACGGGGGCATCCCCAATCCTCCTTTTCTGAATTAAATAAAGGTTTAAATCCTAGCGGAAGCCGTGGTTTTATTAGCGCAGCACAAGTCAAGGGAAGGACCATGCAAGGAGACCGGACACCTGCAGGAGCCAGGGTCTCGGGTGCTTCTCCCTCTGCTTCTCCACTGACGTGGGGATGTGGAACTTGTACCCCCTACCTCATAATTCCCCCTAACTCTTGGGTTTCAGCTTTGTAATTGCTGGAAGCTGCCAGGTGCCTAAGCGGAGATGATCCAGCCTGTTAAAAACCATGAGGAAGGGCACCGTAATTCCAAACCATGTAACTATGCAAAGRTACGGGTAGGAACATTACAAATAACAACCCTTTGAGCAATAACAGGAGCAATAATTAATGGAAGCAGCGCCGGCCGGCMTAATAAATGATTTCAGGAACACAGCTCCATTTTCTGGAGCTCCCTTCAAAGCCAGCAGCTTAAAAGCACGGGAAAGATGGGAAAAAAACTATGAAAAGGGGAAATGAAATCCAATATACATTCTACTTCTGGAAGRCTTAAGTGTGCTGCCAAGGAGGGGGATGAAGATATTCAATTTATTTTTTTTTTTACGGGCATAGTATAGTTGAAGAGAAGCTGGTAGGTCTCCAGGTCTCCGCAAAAGCCACCCTTTTGGGAAAGATTTGAAGCCAGGGCACATAAAAACTGCATCAATCGGATCTAGGAAGGGACTCTCTGGTTGCTACTACTCAAAGCGGTGGAAAGTCTCACTCCAGCATTCCCGGGAGGGGGAGAATGTGTCAGGTGAGAGCACGGGCAAGGCTACGGTGAAGGGATTTGACTAGAAGCTGGAATGCCGGGAGGTGAATGTCTCAGCATCGCTGTGGAACGGGACAATTCCCCATCGGATCCTCTCACCTCCCCAGGACAGGGCAGGGCGCTAGCGGAACTGGAGCGGGCTGATCCGCAGCCCAATGACATCCTTGCCGATCTCTGTCACCTGGGGAATAAAAGGGAGGCGGTTAATTTTTAAAAGCAGCTCAACCATCCAAGCCCACGCGTGGATTTCACAGCCTACAGGCTCGAGSACTGCAAGGGCAGGCCCTGAAAGTAGAACTTAAGCTACGTGGCACCTCACAATTCCCAAACCTCCTCTTACRCCAAGTCCTCAGGCACCCAACTTTAGTTCCCAGACCAAACCAGCTTAGGAGAGCCAAGAAGAAGGGTCTAGAGCGGATACGGATTCCCTTACTGTGGTGACACGGCAGATCTGCCCCTGGAACTCGGGTGAGTAGCAGGCTCCACTGAGGGGACACTTCTCCACGGGTTTGCCACGATAGATGGGTCGGTAGGAGGCAGCGCAGATGTCGAAGGGGTTGTGCATGTCGTAGTTGAGCTGGTAGGTGTCGGTGGGATTCTTCTCGCACGCAGACAGGATCTTGCGTGTCTGCAAGAAGCAAGAGACAGGGCTACCAAGCGGTCCAGAGAGAGGCTACCACAAACGGTGGATTAGATGGAACTCATGACGAGCATAAATCAGACTTCTCCCAATGCCTCTCCATTCCCACCAGCAAGCACCTCTGCTCTGATCCCAAAAGCTTCTGCCCACCCTCTGAGGGAGCAAGTCCATCCTCTCTGAACCAARATGACCTTCTTCCAAAGCACGCGGAGCACCCCGTGACATTCCTGACCGGGACACTTTGCAGACGTACCTGCTGGGCCACCTCCGGCTTGGGACCCAGTTCCAGCAGCCGACGAGCGAAGGTGGCAGCTGTCTTGAAGTTTTTGAGCTTGAAGAAGAGGTTGAGCGCGGTGCGCAGCACCAAGATCATGTGCACGGGCTGCAGGTTGGAGTGGGTGAAATAGGCAGCCATCTGCATTACAGAGAGGAGAGAGATACAATCACTACCASTGACATGAGAAATTGTGCCCTGAAAAGGGCTGCAAGGGGCACAACAAACCCTCCCAGGTGACCACAGCCATCTCTGCTTTAAAAGCAGGAAGCCAAGGCACAATTCCGCAGAACAGGAAATGGTAAAAAGGGCAGAACTCACGATTGCCAAAGCTTCTTTTAAGCCAAAAGGCTATTTTCTTCCCCAACTCCCTCCCAGCCACAGTGAAGAATGCCATGGAGATGGCCCATACCTCACAGATCCGCTTCTGCTGCTCCAGGGTCTCCTTGGGCAGTTTCTTCCGCTCTATCTCCATTGAGAGCCCCACAATGTACTCCCGACAAATAGCTATGAGCTGCTGGGCCTTGGAGAGAGGAAAACAGAGGGAGTCAACAACCTCCTCTTCCTCTCTGGTAGCTACTAGTAGGAGTTCTCACAAGGAAGAACTTCCTCACTGTAAGGGTGACCGAGCCCTGGAACAGGCTGCCCAGGGGGGTTGTGGAGTCTCCTTCTCTGGAGGTCTTCCAAACCCACCTGGATGCCACCATGTGCCACATGCTGTAGGTGTCCCTGCTGGAGCAGGGGGAGGTTGGACTAGATGATCTCAAGAAGTCCCTTCCAACCTTAGCCATTCTGGGATTATGTCTTTCTGTGCTGCTATCTCAGGAGGATGCACAGCACGGACAAAAATAAAGGAGACATCTGCCTCTCACCTCAGCAATCTCCTGCTTGTTGTCCACCACCAGCAAGGGCACGCTGAGCAAGATGGAGCGGAACTTCTCCACGGCCTCCTCAAACTTGCCGGCCGTGGTGAGCTGGTAGCAGAGCTGCAGACGCTGGATGAGGTCGTTGAGCTTGAGCCCAACAGCGGGGAGGGCGTTCTTCAAGCCAGCCTCTTTCCTGGAGACACCAGAGAGGGGTTGGAGAGGGACGAATGGAACCACTGCAGAGGGCATCCAGAACTCACCACCCTTACACTGCCAGCTCAATCCTGACCTGTCAGCAACACTTGGACCTAGGGCTACACTGTCACCCTCACCTTAGCACTAACAGCATCTCTGCTTGTCATGCTGCCTCCCACAACACCCAAGGGTCTTTGCACCAACACATTAGGAAAAGTTAAGTTCATCTTTCTACAGCTGCTCCCAGCCACCACTGTAAAAAATAAATAAATCACAGTTGTGGTGCTCCAGATTTCCGAGCAAAACCCACTAAAGTTGAAACACTCCCAWGAGAAAGGAAGGCTCCTCTCTTCTGGCTCCAACTGAACTTCCAGGAAGGAAAACGGCRCAAGGTGAAGGGTGCACAGGAGGAGCTGGCCCAACCTCTTACCAGTTGCGGTGCRGGTATCCATACATGCTAGGGAGACAAGGCAAAGCTTGGTAGGTCGTACGGCCCCGGGCAAAAGTCTGCAGGAACAGTTGCTTGTAGGGCGCGAAGTTGGTGACTCCCACCTGGTCATGAAGGAGCTGGAAGGGACACASTTAGTTAAGAGATGTCCAGGGCTCTACAGAGGCCGCACAGGCAGCAGCSTTCAGGCTCTGATCTCATTTCATGCACAAAAGATACGGGGACAAGCGCAAGCTCTTTGCAGGAAACTCCAAGGGCACTTACTCTCATTGCTGTCTCAAAGGAGCCTGCCAGGATGTGATCGACGGGGAGCTGAGAATTGTTGCACCACACCTGCAAAAAGGGGTGAGAAACCTCTTTAGGAGTTACTGCAGACATGCACACGTTTGCTCTGCCTATTCTCATCGCCCCTCAGGCCCTGTAACAGGTTGCTGTGGTGTGCTCACAGCTGAGCCTTAATAAGGACTGGGGGGAATAATAATTTCCTGGGGGGAATAATAATTTCCTGGGGGGAATAATAATTTCCTGGGGGGAAAACACAACAAAAAAACCCTAAACCAAATTAGGAAGTTTCTTGGAAAGATGATAAAAGGTTTGTCCCATCACCTGAGCGGGGCTGGTGCCTTTGGTGGGAGGCACGAAGAAACCATCCTCAGCTCCTCCTGCTGGACCGGCAGGTACATCCTGGAGAAAAGCACAGGACTGGGATTAGCAATCAGGTGTTTGACCAAAAAGCAATCACAGCTGGTTGCAACTGTGGCGGCAGAGACTCTCTGGGACCTCACAGAAGTGAAGCACCCTACCAGTTCAGGGGGAAGGTCCAAATCTTCCTCAACTTCCCATCCACCTCCTTCTTCCTGCCCTTTTCCCATGCCTTCTTCTCCAAAGCCTTCTCCAGCATCCACAAAACCATCTGCAGGGAGGAAAAAGAAAGAGTTAGAGCTCTTGCACACACATACACTCAATTTTCTCTCACTTCTAAGAAACACTCAGGGATACACCCACCTTCATCCAGCTGCAACTCTGCATCCTCACCCCAGCCTTCAGTGCCAACAGTGTCAATATCGATATCTGCAGCCAAAGCACCCCCTTTGCCTTCAAAAAAAAAGGACAGGATGATTCATTTACCCATCTCTGAGAAGATAAGATGTTAAACAAAGCAGCAGCACGGGCTAACAGCTTCCCCTCCAATTGCCAAGCATTATCTTCTGCAAAAAGGCCACGAGGTTTCTTGAGAGCTTTTGAGGGTSGTGTAAATACACAGCCAGATTCCAACCTCTGCCAGGAACACAACAAATCGGAGGTTTAACAGCAACAGCTCAAGAGCCACGTGCACAGGCTGGTTCTGTATATCTTTAGGCAGCTTTGCAGGTATATAGCAGTACCTTTGCTAGCAATTGTCCCCTCGAAGAATCCCTTGGARACTGTCAGCAACGGCCAGTTGGTATCCAGAGGCATGACAGGCGCTGGAGGTTGCAGCAATTTCGCATTGGGATCAATGTCTGGAATCTGAGCGGCAAAGGACAGAAAACAGCTAGAGGTCCCGTACAGAAAATCCTCCTCTTTGACCTCTCTCCCTGCTCCCCCAGGCAACACAGATAGTTTCAAGTGTGAAGATAAGAAACGACTCAAGCAGAGGTGGTTCCTCCCTCCTGGAAAGGAGCTGTCTCATCCACATTCCACTACCATCCTCTTCCCAGGCTCTCATAATGCAATAGGAAGCACTAATCAATTCACTGACCGTTTCCTTTTCGGGATCAAAGGTTTCCTTCAGGCTTTCGGCCTCCTCATCCAGACCATGCGTTGCGGCTGTGAGATA